CTGTCCATAATCCCACTTAGATCAGCAGTGGCAAATAGACCAGGAATTAGCTGTTTCTGTGAAGCTGTAACCGGTGCTGGAACATAAATTCAACAGAGGAAACTATATCTGCAGAGAGGAAAGATGGTGTTTAGATGAGAGCTGGGGTTAGAGCACATGGCTTTTGCCCCCAGCTCTGCCCAAGAGACCCCCACAAACCCTTCAAACAAGGCACTGGAAATCTCTTAGGGGCTCAGTCCTCCCAGACTCAAGGTGAGAAGAATAACCATCCCTCCCTCGTGTCCATAACCGAGAAGGGGTTTAGCAGGGGGCTGCGTAATACTGTGCTGACACCACAATTAAATCGACAGCAGCGTAACGCAGAGCGTGCCAGCTCTGTTCAGGTATCGCGTCGCGCTGGGAAGTGGGCGGTGTCAGTGGAGGTTGAGACTCCTAAGCAAAGGCTCGCGCGGGTAGTGTCTGGACCAGGTGCTCAGAGCCACGCGCGCCCCGGGGGGCCTGTCTCTGCAGACAAGGTGCACGAGGAAATCGATGGGGTCATCGGGCAGACCCACGGCCCAGGCATGCAACACCGGAGCCGGATGCCGTACACCAACGCCGTGATCCACGAGATCCAGAGATTCGCCAACATCCTCCCCCTGGGGCTTCTGCACAAAGTAGCCTGCGACACCCACTTCCAGGGGTACTTTCTCCCCAAGGTGCTGTCTCCAGGTTCTGCCTGCAATGGTCCCAAAGCGCCTGGCCATCTCCCACGTCCCCCTCAGACAGCATTTGGCTTGGGGTTGGAGGCTGCCCCACATTCAGCAGGGATGCTGGGGATCTTCTTTGGCAGCCTGGTGGATTTGCGTAGATGGGAGAAGTGCAGGAGCTCAGTATCATGCCAGCAGCGTGGCCTCCACAACTTGAGCCGCCGGGAACCCCAACACAACATGCAAACGACATCCCCCACGTAAACTGACACCAACAACTTGGGTCTATACGCTGCTAACTCCCGTCTATGCTGCCAGCTTCCCTGCACCTCTCCATCTGGGGAGCAGGGCCCAACTGCCTGACCTGGCTCAGGGCTGAGCTTTTATCCCCCCAAGGTCCCCTCCATGCTCCTCTGGACTGTAGCTTGCACAGCTCAGCTGCTTACTCAGGAGCTGACCGGACCTTAGCTCCCACCATCCCAACACAGCACTAGCCTGCCCTTCTCCCCTCTTAAAGTAACAGGGGCCTTGCCCCCGCTCCAGTCTCTCACCACACCAGAAACAAGGGGCTTCTCTCTTTCAAACCACGTCCAGTCTCTTTAAGCACTGCTGGATGCGTCTCCTCGGCCTCACATGTTGGGGATCCCCCGACTCTAGGTGAGACTTTTCTGGCACAACTCCCAGCTGCAGGGGGTTTATTTGGTGGTGGAAAACCACTACATTATTCCCATCTCTCTTCCCCAGGATACCCCTGTTTGCATCTCTTTAAGTACAGTTCTCCACGACCCCAAATACTTCAAGGACCCAGAAAGCTTCGACCCTGGGCATTTCCTGGATGAAAACGGCTGCTTCAAGCAGAATGACGCCTTCCTGCCGTTTTCCGCAGGTACGTGCGACAGTCCTGGTCACAGGAGTAGAGAACCTCTTCTGGCCTAAACTGAACGTGAACCCACGGGTCAGCATTCACTCTGTCGTTACACCTCAAAGTCGTCCAGGTCATAGATAGTAAGGCTGGAAGCCCCTTGCACAAGCAGGAGAGATGATTGGGGTCAAGCGTGTGGCAGAAATGCCACCGTCGGTGCCCCTCTCCAGAGATCTGTCTCCACCAGCCTGAGAGGCTGGTGTTGAATCCCTCAGGGTGGGGATCTCCCACCTTGTCTGCATGACAAAAGCCTGGGGCCTGAATGCTCTGGTCACCTGGGCAGAGGGGAAAGGCCCGGCCCTGAGCATGGGCCCAGGTAGCCAGGGATGCTTGGGAGATTGGTCGGCTTGTGGCCAGTATTGGCAGCTTTGATTGGACCGGGCTGCTGAGGTCAGAGAGGTTATTTAAGGGCCCGGTCCAGGAAGAAGGCAGCCATTATCCATGCGGTCATCCAGGTGAATCTGAACCTGGCTCTCTCCTCATCACCGCATGCTGCAAGAGTGCCCTGCCTCCAGAGGAAACAACAAGCACCTCTGGACGATGCGAGTGAGTAAGCTACTAGAGATCCCACTAGATATTTAGCTTCAGTAACTCAGATGTGTGTTTAAACGGCTAACTCAGCCACCCTGGTTTGCTCTATGGGATTCCTTTGATATTCCTGTGATATTTCTATGATACTGCTCTACCTTTTACCCTGTTTCCGCCCTACCCCTGTAATCAATACAGTTCTCCTTTGTGACCGGTGTGGGAGACTTATTGAGGGTGGGTCTAAATTATGCCAAGGAGGCCCCTTAGGTCTGTGGACTAAGGGAGACTTTCCTAAATAGCCCCTGACTTGGGAAGTGCCCCAAGTGCTTGTATTGGGTCTAGCACCCATTGGACGATCAGGCCTGTGTTCTCCAAGGTGCGCAGAGCCAGAAGTGAGTCCAGAGCCTTGGATGGTGGCAGCGGGAACCCCAGCCTAGTGGGTGTGCTCCAGAGAAGGGGTCGGCTGGACGGGACGCACCCCAGGGAGGCACTCGGAGCCTGGAAGGTGGGCGGCGCAGGGAGGTGGGCGGCTCAACGCAGGAGTGCCCCCTACTGGCCCGCCACAAAGTGACCCCAGCAAGGTGACCATCCAGTCTCCTCTTGAAGATTTCCAAGGTAGGCAATTGTACCACCTCTGGATATCAGATCCCATCTAGACTCCAAGGTCTTCATTCTTTTTCACTCTTCTCAAGACCCTTGCTGTGGGTGGGCCAAACCAGGGGTCCATCTGACCCTGCCCCAGCCTCCTACTTTGGGGTCTCCCCACACTGGACAATCATGGAAAGACTTATGCTCAGAAGAGCCTTCTTAGCTGGAGAGTTTCCATTAACCCCTACCCTGGACGGTTTCTATCCCATCTCTCCTGATGTCCTTGCTCACAATTCCTCTTATTCGAGCCCTGGCACGTTTAACCCTGGCACGTGACGATTATAGGAGTCTACACTCAGACCTGTTGGGTTCTAGCTCTAGCTCTAAAACCAACATGAAAATGCACACTGGAAGACACAGGTCACTTTTCCCCAAACCAGTTTTCCCCAACTGCACAAAGGGGCTGTAGAAATTAAGAGCAAAGAGCGATCAAGAGAGCTGGTAGGATCTGTGATGGGCTCCTGCACCGAGTCACCCAGCTCACCGCACCTGACCACCTGCCGAGCTCCGAGTGCCTCCCACGGGCGCCTTACATCAGGCCAACCCCGTTTCTGGAGCATGTTTCTGGAAGGCAGTTGTGCCACCACCCAGGAGTCTAGACTATATCCGGGCCCTGCTCCCCCTTGAGGGTGCTTGACCCACTGCGAGGACTTAGGGTGCTTCCTTTAGCCTGCAGCACACAAAGTAGCCTCCCTTAGTCAGCCGAACCAAGGAGGCACGCTGGCCTACCCAATCCCTCTCTCAGCCAGCCCACCACGCTTGTATAGTGGAGAGCTTTTTGGGTTACAGAGGGTAGGCTTGGGGAAGGGTACAAGATAGAGAAGTATAACCCAGGGCAAACAGTATGGCTAAGTAGGTAGCCTTTTGTCACACTTCTACATTACAGTAAGCTATATATCTAGATCAGTTCCAGGTAGTTTACTCACTTCCACATCCTCAGCATCCTGAGAGAAAGAGCGGTGCAGATGTTCCAGATGCTGCAGGAGACTTAACATGGCTGCCGCCCCTCCTTCTGGGCAGTCCTGGCTTATATAGGCCTTTTGACATCACCTTCGTGACCCAGCGAAGGCAGGTGTTGTCTGAGGACGACCAACCAATTTGAAACGCATCGTACCTTGACCTGAGCTCAAGCCACTGCCTTAGGACTGCCCTCTTAGGCTAAAGGTGGGAAGTTTAACAACAGACCTGGTGCAGGGAGGGAGACATTTCTCCTCCTTAGGGGGTCCTCTAGACAACCAGGTGGCTGCCTTGCAACTGGGCTGCAGAGCGGTGAGACAATCAAGACAAGGGAAAAGAAGAAAAAAAACCCTTAAAAGCAGGTGGCTGGAAGAGGATTCTTTCACGGGATCCAGACGAGCACAACGTCACCCTCTCACCTCCACAGCCTCAGGTCTTCTTGGGTTCAAAGCTCAGACAGGTATCCAAAATACACCTGTGAGGCCCTTATATTTACCTTTTGTATCTCTCCGCAGGCAAGAGGGTGTGTCTGGGCAAGAGCCTGGCCCTCATGGAGCTCTTCCTGATCCTAACCACCATCCTGCAGCGCTTCACTCTAACATCGCCGAAACCCCCGCAGGAAATCAACCTCACCCCAAAAGTGAACATACTTGTGAACGTTCCCCCCAGCTACGAGCTCTATGTCCTCCCACGGGAGGATGGGCTGCAGGACAGGGCCTAGGAAGGCCACAGCAGACTGAGACACCAGGAGAAAGATCATTATGACACCCAGCCTGCAAGGAGTCATGACGGAGGAAGAGGTTCCACGCGAGCCCTCTTCGGTGGAAGGTGGCACTGCGTGTCGCTGGCCATCGTAGCCCTGGTGTTTTAGCGCTTACTGTTCATGTCTCTATTCTGCAAAAAACAGCAGGCAGTTTGCAGCCGTAGAAGGCAGGTAGTCTGTGGGGAAGAAAATGCTTGCTCTAGTGATGGGAGCAGAGGGGCTATGGCAGGACTCTGGGCTTCTTCTGCAGCTCTGCACGCGTGGCCTAGCAGTCATGGTACTGGACGGGGATTGGGGGCCCCTGGCTAGAGAGTGCAATTTGGTAATTGGAGCAGGGCGCTGAGCGTAGTCGAGAGGAAATTCCTGCTCCTCTGCCAGGAACCATCACTTGGGCTTTCCCTTCTGCTGGGATTTGTCCTTTTGTTAAACTTGGTAGCAGCTACTGACAATAAAACCTTTCCAAAGGCAATGCTGGTTCTCTCCATTTTGTACACCTGTTGGGAGGCAGCTAGGACTTCGTTTTCAACAGCTCGAGGATTTCACCTGCCAACTGAGGTGGAGGAAAGCATTAACTCATCTCCCGCCACGACAGGCCTCGTCTCCTTCCCCTGACGCACACAATGCCTGGTCTCCTCAGTCCATCTCTGTCGTTAGCAGGTGTGGCGTTGGGATGAAGGCATGCTGGGCTTCAGAAAAAGGAGCCCTCTGACAGCAATTACCACGGTCCCTTCCACATATTTCCACCTTATTTAGCAAATCAGAGAGTGTCAGCAGCCCGGTCCCAGTCAAGTTCTCTGCGCATCCAGAACTGCCCTGGGTGCAGGCTGTGGCAGGACAATAAGGGGGTGCTACTACACTGAGCCCCCCGCCTCACTGTGCCCGACAAAACCCCGCTTCAGGTATCTCCCCTGGGGTGCCTATGCCCAGCCGACCCCCTTCCTGAAGCGCACTCGTAAGACTGGGGTAACCGCTGCCACCACCTGGGCTCTTGTCTCAGTCAGGGCTCTGTGCAGCCCGGGGTACACAGACCCGGCAGACCTTGGGGATGCTGTGCCCCCAGTAATATCTCTGGGTACTTCTTACAGCCTGGAGCCACCCAGGATAAATTCAGGTAGGACTGTGTTAATTAATACACAGCCAAACTCCCTTCAGCTGGGCCAAGCAAACAGGGCAAAAAAGCTTAGAGCAAAGAGATTTTAGAGGAAAACACCTTGAGCAAAACAGAAGGGCTCGAGGACCCTTTGAACACGCATCTAAAATACATAACCCTAATACACTGGCTGCATTTCAGATAAGTTACTCACATATGCATCCAGAGAACGAGTGTTCGGGAGGCTGGAGGCTTCAGTATCTTGTCTCAAAATAATTGCACTCTCCTTCCCAAAATGCCTGCTGCCAGACAAAGGAAGAGAGAGCCTCCCCCCCGCCCCGAGGAATTTCTCCAGCCCGGTCACGTAGGCAACCAGGTTAAAACCGAAAAGTACATTAGGGCTGTGGAAAGCTTCAGATCACGATTCGGATTCGGAGATGATTCAGATGCCAAATCTACAAATCTGAATCAAATTGCTGGAAGCTTTAGGCTTTCCGAATCGATTCGGAAAAGATTCGGCGATTTGGAGATTCGGCCATAGGGTATAATGGGGAATCAATTAAATATCTATAACTTTGTTGTCATTTGGCTGATTCAGATGAAACTTGCCGGGATGGTAGCCTCTGCTGAGAGCATGATGTGTGCCAAGCTTCAAGAAGGGGTTTCTGAGAAATGCACCTCAAAGTCCTGAAAGCAAAACTCATGTCACATGTGTGTGTGAAGCCACAGTGGGGTGAAAACTGCAGGCACGCTAGCCCCTGTGGAGGCCACAAAGCCTGCCACGTTTCAAGGAGATTGGTGCGGGGGTTTGGGGGGAACTGCACCTCAAGCTGCGGACAAGCAAAACTCATGACATGGGTGCTTGTGCAGCTGTCTGTCTTGGGGCACATGGGGTGGGGGGTGAAAAACTACTGCAGGCCTGGCTGCTAAGCTGTGTTACCACTCAATCATGATTCGCTCAGGGACCAGCTCAATACACAGTAGCTAGCTACCAGACAACGAGGTCTTGAGCAAGGATTAACACCTACCAAACCACAGACTAAGGAGAGGAGAGAATCAATACAGAGCCAGGAACTGCTTCTGCTCCAAGACAGAGACACTCAGTTGCACAAGCACCCACGTCACGAGTTTTGCCCGTCAGCAGCCAGGGGTGCAGGGCCCCAGACCCCCCTGCACCGATCTCCTTGACAGCTGGCAGGCTTCGTGGCCTCAGCAGGGGCTGGCAGGCCTGCAGCTTTCACCCTGCTGCGCCTTAACACACACAGTGTCACCTATGTCATGAGTTTGGCTTGTCAGCAGTTTGAGGTGCAGTTTCCCAGAAACCCCAGCACCTATCTCCTTGAAACTTGGCAAGTGTCACGCTCTCAGAAGAGGTTACCATCCCTGCAAGCTTCATCCAAAAGACAACAAAGTTATAGATATTCCATTGATTCCCCATTATACTCTATGGCCGAATCTCCGAATTGGCTCCCAATCTTCCAAAGCAATTCAGCCGAATCGAAGTGGAAAAACGATTTGGATCTCCGAATCGAATCTCTGGCATCCAAATGGAATAGTTCCCTATTTGCACAGGCCTAAAGCACACATGAAAGAGGAGGGGTGTGCAGAACGTCCCAGGGCAGATTAGAGAGACAGGGGGATTTCTTCACACAAGCATTTCCAGGTTGTCCTCTGCCCAGCAACCAGGGGGAAAGACCACATTAATCCCTCCTCAGCCTAACCTCTGCGAGGAGCCTGTTGAGGGACTTGATCTTGATTCCCCAAGCTGAATCAAAGAGCCTCTCTACTGGGGACATCACTCTAGGGTGAGACACCACCTGAATCTACAGCAGCGGGGCTAGTCTGGAACACCTTCCCGGAAGCACCAGTGTAGGAACACCAGACTACACACAAATGAGGCGCTTTTGCTCTGGGATAAGTGCACCCACACCTGTGGAGTTCTCCAGGTTGCTATCCTTGAACAGCTCCGTGCATTAACAAGCCCAGACCGAGTCCAGGATTAGGCTCCGCATTTAATTCAGGGCAACAACCAAGGGGCCTTGTTACATGGTAATTTTGGGCAGCTCCTGCAGCTCTTGACCCGATGGACTATGTGCACATTAACACCTTAAAATGGTTTTAAGCACTCATTATGTGGATTAAAGCTACACCACTGCAGGGCAGAATTATCTCTGATCCGCGCTACCCAATTCCTGTTCCATTAAGGTGTGGCCACTCCCCAAAGATGGGCCACCCAAATTGAAGTCCTCCCATATCCCAAGATATACTGCTGCCTGTAGAGCAGGGATAGAAGTCTGTCCTAGCTCACCAGCCATATAGTGGCAACTCAAGCTACAGCTCCTAGTCCTGCCCCTGCCCCTGCCCACCAGGCCTCTAGTAGCAAGTCACAGCTGTGCAGGTGGGGGACAGTCAGGGAAGGGTTTCTAGACTAAGGGTCTAGTTGCATGGTAATTTTAGGTGGCTTCTGGAGCTCTTAACCCCTTGATGAGCTGCACGTTAATGCCTCTTAAGTGGCATAAAGCACTTGTATTTCTACTTCGTTACACTACTCTAGGGCAGGATTATCTATAATCCGTCTAATGTTGCTCCTGGCCACTCCAGGCAGCTATTCCGCCCAAATTGAAGTCCTCCGGCCTCCCAGGATAAGTGACTTCTCAGGCAAGCGGGGAAGCCAGGGCGCAGCATTGCCAAGCACAGTGCTTCAACCCCTAGGCACATCAGGCAGAGTGAGCACTGCAGCCCCGGAGTGCCTGGCAGATGTGGTGCCCCCCCCCACCACCACCACCACAGGGACTGACTCTGATCCCGCAGACCGGCTCTGCTTGCTCTGCCTAGTGGAAGCAGAGCGGGTCCTGCCCTGGCTCACCAAGACTTGAGTGGCAAGTCACAGCTGTGCAGGTGAGGGGCAGTCAAGGCAGATTTTTCACCTTAAGGTGCAAGTGCTCCACTAGGCCCATCAACACTAAGCTGATAAAGGTGCAACAAGGCCCGGGGAACTGTGGGGCTAGCAGTGGGGTCCTGCCACAAAAAGCGTGCCCATCCTCAGGAAGGCTTGCTCTTGAGCAGCAGCGCCCAGTCTCACATGAGTCAGACCTTTGCACAGATCAACCAAAAGCAGGTACATGGATAACGATCACCAAGCACCTTTGATGTGAGATCTGACGCAATCGCCAGTGACATTTCAGGTGTTAGAAATGACTGCGCCTTGTGTTCGTGCCAGCATAACAACTTCGGGCTTCCTAATTCTAGGTTGCTGCCTACTTGATAGAGTATATATGTGCACACACAGGACATCAGAGGATAAAAACCTAATCAGGTCAGCTCCCTGCTAGCGCTGCTGTTTCCCAGTGGTTTTGGCGCAATGGTGCTTGGAGAAGCCGTGACTCTCCTCCTGGCGGTCTGTCTCTCAGGCCTGGTTATCCACTGGGAGTGGAAATGGTGGCATCAAAGGAGGAAACTTCCCCCTGGGCCAGCACCTCTGCAATACCTGATCTATTTCCTGTATCCATGGAAGACAGGGCTGCTCAAGCCACTGATGAAGGTGAGTCGTGTTCTTCCCATAGGTCTAGGTCCTAGTGTTAGCATTACTGGGAAATCTTCCAGTCCCTACCCCAGGGTCTCATCCAGGTCTGAACAATCCCTCACAGTCCTCTGGGAAGCTGGGTGAGGAATTTGGTCCCTAGTTCAGAGAGGAGAAAATGTAGGTGTAGAGTGGAGAACAGTCATGTGTGAGGCTCCGCAGACTCAGCCGTACACCTGGGAAGAGCG